TGTAAAACGCCTAAAGGTGTTTAACAAAGGAGTCCACTACACTCTGAAGAGACTAGAGGAACCTGGAAGTTATGATGATAGAAAAAGACCTGGACGAAAGAGAGTTACTACAAAAGCAGAGGATAAACATAGCATTGTCATCAGTAAGTGAGATCGGCAAAAGACAGCACCAAAAATAAGGGAGGAAATCAACATGACAAGGTCGAAATCCATATCTCTGACAACTGTGAAATGACATTTGAGAAAGGCTGGTCTAAAGGGTTGTGTATCTGCAAAAAAACACCACTTCGTCCACAGAACAAGAAAAAGCTCACAAAAATTGGACTTATGATGACTAGAAACAAGTTTGCACTGTTTGGTTCAAAACGCAGTCAATGTCTGCAGACAAACTGGTGAACGTCTGAAAGCACCATGTGTAACACCCACAATTCAGCATGGAGGTGGTAGTTCCATGGTATGGGGATGTTTTGCAGGTGATGGAGTAGGAGATTTGTTTGAAGTAAAGGGTATCATGAAGAAGGAACAGGACCACTCCATCCTCCAGCACCATGCTGTTCCATCTGGACTCAGACTTGTGGCTCACAAGTTTGTTTTGCAGCAAGACAATGGGCTCTATTTTCGTGTTCGCCAGTGAGGCGACGGAGGGTGGCAGACCCTGCGCAGTGGTATTTTCGTCTGGCGGAGCCCGGCGTACAGCCAGTTTGGTATTTTCGTGGACTGAGGCACACCGAGATCCGCCAAGCTACGCGTGGTGGTGTGGCAGAGGGAAGTGTCGACAAAATCAGCTGCCGCAGTGACATTTCGTGCTGGCCGGTGGCGTATAAAGTGCGCTGAAAGCTCGCCGATTCAAACCTAGTCAGCTTTCAGCGCAGGCGGAGTGCAGCTGGTCTAGTGGTATTTTGGTAGACCAGCAGCGTATCGGCATACATCACCGATGCCTCACTGGCAGGTTTCCACAGTGTCAGGCACATTTCAGTGCAATAAAGAATCATCAACAACTAATAATCTGAGTCAGCACATGCATTTAGATCTATATAGATATATTCTGATCTATATCTGATCTGATGAGTGCGTTTGGCACGCATTTGGACACTCAACCTGACTGAATTAACACAGCTGAAACTGCATTAAATAAAATTAAATATCTAGTAAATAGACACACATGATGAAGTTAACAAGATATGTAATTCGCCTCCCTCCTTTTCCTTCTTCCTCTTCCTCTTATTTCTTGCGCAGCTGGACCTGGACATGTCTCCGTGTCCTCTCCCCGTCCTGCAGGAGCTGTTGCTGTGGTGGCTGAACAGATGATTTGTTTCAGTGATCAGATGAGTTATTTACTTTAAGCCTACATACGAATATTATAATATTCAGTTTTGTGTACCAAATTTATTTTATATGCCAACATCTATGAAAGAAAGAGCCAGGCCACGGAGCGCGATGCGTCATTTACGCACAGATGGTTCCGATTTTAATGCCATTATTGGAATTTATGATGTGATCTCTGCGCACAACCCACCTGTCACGTGAGGTTTGAATATGTGCAACTTTTTGTTGTTGAGTGTCTTTATTTGTGGAAAGGATGTTTGACTTACTAGTGGGTCCAACATTACACACAACAAATCCATCTGTGCACAAGTGTCACAGCGCTTACAGTGACACTTGTTGAGGAGCTCCCTTCTGTCGCCATCGTGTGGCGTCTTCAGACATCTCTTGATCTCTTTGACTACTTCACGAAAATAGTAATACGCCTCGCCGGTGGCGGATTTAAAGGCGAGGAGAGGAGCTGATGTTATTGGTCAATACAGGTCTCGGCTGTGTTAAACCCACTCCACGCCCTCTCTTCTCCCTCGCTACGACTTACACCGCTGGGAGGAGCTGAGTTAGGGAGGGGGGATACTTAAGCCGGGCTGCGCTGCTCACCAAAATACCAAATATTGCTTGGGAACGCCTTGTGAATGATAATTTATCGCCCATCCCTAGTAATGAGCACACCAGGCTGTCTGAGGTAGCTTGCTGTTTGGCCATTTTCATTTAGGTCTTACTGTGCTGGTTGTAGGGCTGGGAAATAAACTGAAGATTTAACGAAATTTATGACAATAACCGATTCCATTTTGCCCATATCGGTATATCTGGTGTCAAAACAATACATAAATAAAAGTTGGTTTTAGATGTGTGTAGGTAGGCCATGGTCTCCTGTCCCTTTAAGATGCTGTCCTACGTCAGAGACGTGACTTCACCCCATCCAGTCCGTAACAAAGAGGGAAAGAGGTGAGGAGATGGAGGACGGTTCAAAAATTATAGCGGCTGGAGTGGCGGCTGAAGTAGATGACGTTAATATGGGAGGGGGTGAGCAGCTTGTGGAGTAGTTATCGTCCATTTATAGTTATTGAGGTGAACTGCTCAATATATCGTGATATTGATTCGAGGCCATATCGCCCAGCCCCAGGTGGTATTTTTATCATATTGTGCTGCTGTTAATCAAACCACAAATTTATTAGTAATGATGTCTGATTTCGGTTACAACTGAACATCAGCTCAGCATGTCATTCAAGCTGTTCTATGAATGAACCTCAGGCTTGGTGCTAAAGCCAAGGCCTTCTCTCCAGAAATGAACTTATTCTAATGAATATGTGTCACATACTGGTCTACACAGTATGTAGATGAGCCCTTAACACTACTTTGTCTCTCTTTTCTGCTCACAGTTTTCTGCAACAGGCACAAACATGGACTCTTTATGAGGTGATGAAAAGTTGATCTGTGAATGAGAGTAGTGCAGGGACTGTGCCAGTGAGCTGAGCAGAGAGACACAGCTGGCAGGAACAAGCGTAACTTAAGAAGCATACAATACAAAGCACCCTCCAGGTGTGGATGGATTTAAGTTTTTTCGAGTATAGCAGCTGTGAAACAGTCAGAAAGCAACATTTTATTTCAGCTTCCCTGCTTTGTTTACTGAGCTGGGTGTCTCTTTCATTCCCAGGAAGCAGCTTTAATTTAAAAGTAAGATTGTCCATGTGTTTTTTCATCAGTCTGATTGTTTTGGATACTACCTAATGTATAAACTTTTGGCAACATTACTTTTGTGCCTTGCCGGCGACGCGGTGCATGCGCGGCGTAAGTTAGGTCCGCCGCGCCGACAAGGCGTTCCCAAGCACAATTTGGTATTTTGGTGAGCGGCGCAGCCCAGCATAAGTATCCCCCCTCCCTAACTCAGCTCCTCCCAGCGGCATAATTCGTAGCGAGGGAGGAGAGAGGGCGTGGAGTGGGTTTAACTCAGCCGAGACCTGTATTGACCAATAACATCAGCTCCTCTCCTCGCCTTTAAATCCGCCACCGGCGAGGCGTATTACTATTTTCGTGAAGTAGTCAAAGAGATCAAGAGGTGTGTGAAGACAGTAATGCCACACGATGGCGACAGAAGGCAGCTCCTCAACAAGTGTCACTGTAAGCGCTGCAGAGGGTGTCCTTCACACTCTCTCATATGAGCACAGATGGATTTGTTGTGTGTAATGTTGGACCCACTAGTAAGACAAACACCCTTTCCACAAATAAAGACACTCACATAAAGTTGCACATATTCAAACCTCACGTGACAAAGGTGGGTTGTGTGCAGAGATCACATCATAAATTCCAATAATGGCATTAAAATCAGAACCATCTGTGCGTAATGACGCATTGCGCTCTGTGGCCTGGCTCTTTCTTTCATAGATGTTGGGATATAAAATAAATTTGGCTCACAAAACTGAATATTATAATATTCGTATGTAGGCTTAAAGTAAATAACTAATCTGATCACGAACCATCTGTTCAGACACCGCAGCAGCAGCTGCAGCAGGACGGGGAGAGAACACAGAGACATGTCCAGGTCGAGCTGCGCGAGAAATAAGAGGAAGAGGAAGAAAGAAAAGGAGGGAGATGAATTACATGTCTTATTAACTTCATCATGTGTGTTTATTTACTAGATATTTCATTTAATTTAATGGGTTTCAGCTGTGTTGATTCGGTCAGGTTGTGTGTCCAAACGCGTGGCAAACGCACTCATCAGATCAGATATAGATCAGAATATATCTATATAGATCTAAATGTATGTGCTGACTCACATTATTAGTTGTTGATGATTATTTATCATTTATTTATTATTTATTTATTATGATTAATGAAATGTGCCTGACACTGTGGAAGCCTGCCGGTGAGGCATCGGTGACGTATGCCGATACGCCGCAGGTCTACCAAAATACCACTAGACCAGCTGCGCTCCACCTGCGCTGAAAGCTGACTAGGTTTGAATTGGCGAGCTTTCAGCGCACTTTATACACTGGTGGCGAGCACGAAAATGTCACTGCGCCAGCTGATTCTGTAGATACCTCCCTCTGTCATGCCTAGCTTGGCGGATCTCGGTGTGCCTCGGTCCACGAAAATACCAAACTGGCTGTACGCTGGGCCCATACAGTCAATTTATTTGTATAGTCTAGTATGGGTGAACAAGCAGTGGATTTTGACATGGAGACATGAAATCTTCTTTCCAATAAATACATATGTTTGTAAAAGAAGGCAGTTTCTTCACCTACTGCTTCATACAAATTTGATTAAAAAACTCGTGTAAATAATGATCCTGAAGGCCTCTTAATTTGAACATCCACTCTCTGTCTTCAGGACCTGCCTGGAAGCCTACAGTGAACCCTGTGGGCACCTTAGCCGCAGTTTGAGAGCAAGCTGTGTGCAAGTCAACTCTCACTGGGCAGAGTTCACTGTGATCCACACTATGCGAGGGGGGTGAACTGTGACACATTCCCTCCCCTCCCTGAGAATGTAATTGGAGCACACAGCAGTTGGCCAAGCCGGCCTGACTGACAGACAACAACAGTGCAAACCAAAACTTACTCTTAGAGAAGTTCCAGTAAGCTAAGCAGGGAAAGAAAAAGATAAAAAACTTTCTGGATCAATTAACACTGGACTTTTCCTCAAGAAGAGAGACGTTTTCTGGATTTGGGGGGTGGGTCACCATGACAAGCCTGAATCTGTTGCTGCTGGCATGTTGCCTATGTAGCATAGGCACATTAGGAGGTAAGATACAAGCTAACACATTACTCCTATTTCATCAAGTTATGGTAAACACTTTATATCTCTTATGTGGATGCTGCACTATTATCGCATGATGAGAGAACAAAATGTAACCGTTGTAACTGTAGCAAGACAGGAAAAAGTGATACTGTAGTGTTTCCCTGAGCCAATAGGAGTAAATTTGGGAAAAATAAAAGTTTATAAAACCTCCATTTGGAAAAGAAAGTGGGTGCAGAGGTTAGCTTGGCCTGACATAACCCACAATTCTTGGCATTGCAATAAACCACAGGTGTAAAAGTGTTAGTAGTATTACCCCAGTTAATAAAACTGTACAAGAAAAAGCAGCAGAAATATAGTTGCCAATAACATCTACACAATGTGTCTTGAATGTAAGGGACACACTTCAGATGTCCAAAACCAAAAGTTTACAGGCACTTTTTGAGTTTTACTTGAGAAGCAGAGATGCTTTCAGCTAGAGCAGCATGCTACTATGCTAATGGTTATTTGGTAATGTTCACTCAGTAAGCAGGGTTTGCTAATTTACTGACTCACTAAAACTTTGTAAGCCTGTATGAAGACACAGTAATGCTCTAAACTCAATGCTTAAACAATATGCAGCATGCTTGCTGTGATGTGCTAACGTGTATGTGTTTACCATGTGTTTTGTTAACCTGGTGTTGTTGCTAACAGGGTGCTAATATATGTTAATGAGTACTGAACAGGTAGGACTGAACAGAAGACATAGCTGGGGCTGATGGGGTTTCTAAAACTACTTTTTTTTTTTACTTTTATGTTTTTGCTTGGAGAGAGGCTAGGCTAGGTCATCTGCTTTGAGAACTGTACTCTTTGTGCATGGCTATAGGGATTTAACAGAGCTAAACTAGTGCCCTACCGTCATTAGAATGCAAAACAATTTAATTTTGAATGAAGCAAAGAAGTTGGAATTTATGATTTTTGTAAATGAATGGTGTCTTCAGTCATTTTTTTCTGTTTGATAGTGTCAAAAAACAATAGCTGATGAAACTAGATGAAGAGTAACCACTCTAAGTAAAGACCTGCTGCCGAAAGCAATCAAGGAAATCATCAGAACCACCCGAGGCAAAAAACACAGAAATCAATGTCCTCCTGTCTTTTGCAATTGATTTAATAGCCAATTGCTGGTACCTACCTCAAAGAAAGAAATATCTTATTTTCAACTTGACTCCTGCCATTGTCAGTTTTAAAAGCATGTTTATCAGTCCTCAGCAAGTGCACTCACTTGTGCTTTGGAGAGTTATCATGTCATAAACCAGCTGAAAGAACCTGTCTATTCAAAAATCCCTTTGGGGCTTTTATCAAAGTGATGGCAGGAGAGGAAAACTTACAAATGACAATTTATATCTGCCTCTGTGTTTTATTTCTGACACTTCCATAAAGTAAAAGCATTCACGGTGTGCTCAGGGTATGCCTTCATAATCATCTCTCCTCTTTTAGACATCACTGTTGCTTTAGTCTCACTTGTTTATCAGGTTATCTCGGGAAAGAAAAATCCAAATCCCTGCTAATTGTAAGAACCTCGCAGCTTCACCCATCAGCAGCCATGCTTCCCTATGCCTAGCTAATGGGGGTGCCTTGCTTGGTGATCGCTGTCATTTATTGCTGTCAGGTCAGGTCCTGCTGGGCCCACAGCAATGCCAAACGTGATGAATGCTGCGTCACCGGAGCCACTTATTATAAATGCTTTTAACCTTCCAATACTGAGGAGAGAAAAATCGGTGGAAGTAAAACTGAATATGCAATAGAGTGGGAAACGTTTGGGAAGGGTTACTCTGACAACTGAGATGCATGTTTGAAATGATTGTATCACAGCCACTGTGTATTTATGCTGTATATTGGCAATGCATGTGTAGATGGTATTTGCTTTTAACTATTGTACAGTTTATACTGTAAAATAAACTTAACTTAATAAATTTAACATTTCTTGCAACTATGTTTAAAAATAGTTAATAGTGCTTAACATTGCAGAGGAATACAAGAAACAAAGAATACCCGAATCTACCCCAACCCAATCCCTTATTCCCACCCTATGATCTAAGCAAAGCAGAAACAAGTATTAAAATGCATTAACTTGAAAAGAGCTCGATTTCATAGAAACAGGAATGTGCACACAGAAAAAACGCCATTTTAAAATTCAAGATAAATTTTAAAATGAAACGCAAGAGTTTAGGTTAAAATCTAAAAACAAAGTAACAAAATGAAATTTAAGAAATGATAAATAAAATGAAATTAAAACAACAGTAAAATATACTAAAATAAGAGCACCAAAGTAGCTCAATAAACAGTGATCCAGTCATGAAAACTAGAAAGAGATAAATGCTAAAACACTTTAAAAAAAGGTTAATGATAAAATTTTGTTAAGGGCAAGACTAAAATGGTATGTTTTGATTTAACTTGTTGTTGCTTATTTAATTCACTGTAAATTATCAAACAGAAATTAAAGGTTCGTTTATCATTTAAACCCAGCATTTCACAAAAAAAGACAACATACCAAGTGTTGAAGTTAAAAAGAATCTTATTGCTGTATGAAATAATCAAGTTATGACAGGGATATGTTCACCATTGTGAAGCACCACCTCTTCTTTAAGTCAACAGTCTGATTCCTGCAGTTTTGTAAGTGACTCTGTCGCAGTCTTGCCTGACAAAGGATTTCATTTGCTCAATATTTCGGGGTCTGTTGTCAGTGGGTGAGAAGCCCAGCAGGCAAACGAGTTTAGAACCCAGACTCTTCTGCTTCAGAGCCATGTTGTTGTGAATACGTCTTTCTAGTGGCTGAAATATGCAGTTTTCTTTGACTTAAGCATTGTCTGGGTGTCTGGCTGTGCCATATGTGCTGTGGACAATAACCCTCTGAAATTTACTTAATTATATAGTTTTTGTTGGTCTTTCTGCAATGTTTGACTATAGGCTACTTTGAAAAGTTTTACTTATACTTGGACTGTTTAATCTAGTACTGGGCTTTTTTTGTTTTGTTTTTTATTATGTGACAGACTCAGTTTTAGGTTAACTAACAGTAACAAGTTGTTTATTAGTATCATTAACCAATGCTTATATACTCATGAGAGTGAGCTAGTATCGTCCATTACCATTGAAGAGAAAATTTTTATATTAACTTTTTCACATATTTTTTCAGGGATGTGAAATATCATCAAAAATCCCATCAAATGTCATTGTTGGCACAATTCCCCTCGATATGTATTTTTTTTTACTAAAGCACCTCTTTATTGATGACGGCACCTCAGTGGATCTTCCTGGTTTTTCCTGATCTTCCCGAGAGACATTACCAGCATATCCATTTTTTTTGTTTTGTTTTTGTACATTGGTTCCTTTATTGCGTCGTACAGTTTTAACCTGCAGTTTCTTCATGCAGAAATGAACTGTGTTTAAAGATAATGATTTATTAAAGTGATTTTTAGCCCATGCAGTGATTTTTTTTCCCACTGCAATCATTCCTGTTTTCAATGCAGTGCTGCCTTAGGGCCTAAAGAGCCAGTATTGACTTTTACTCTTGTCTCTTTTGTACAGAGATTTCTCCAGTTTCTCGGAATCTTCTGATAAAATCGTATTCCAGGGATATTTTCAGTTTTAAAATCATTTTCCTATTTGCTCATGTAGTCTCTGACAGAGTGATTAGCTATCTCCGTCTTCATCCTGTGGGGAACTTTCAGTTTGTGTTAATTTTGGCTCCCCCTGACAGAGCAGTCTTTGCTTATCTTTGCCCTCTGCATACTTGAGAAGTGACTTTTGATGAAAAATATAAGTATTCCCTTTATGGTGGATATTTTGTGTGGGAGGTGTACAAACCGGGCTGTGTCTTTAGCTGCTTATCAGACAATGATGTCAGGCATTCAAATAATTACAAAAATCATCAATCTCGATGCTGATGATCTTGTGAGCTTTGGATACTGTGAAAGACATCCCTTTAAATTTCAGTCTACTCTATTTGCTAGTCTTTTTTATTGGCTATCACAAAAAAACAAAATGAGGATGTCTTCTAGTGACTTCCCTTCTAACTTTCATGTGTTTTTTGGGTCCCAGTAATGTCAATGGGTGCTTGACTGTTAAAGAAAGATAAGGAGGTTGTCTCATTAAAGTTGTAGAAGTTTCCAGTCATGGGTAACCCAGCCATAGCTTATTTGGCTAAATCTTGTTGGGCGTCACATCCCTTTTCATTAACTAATTCAAGGAAGTATCTGCTCACTGTGCACTATCGACTCAGATGCTGAGCGAGAGGCCTCATTGTTACTCATATCTGAATGCACAGCACACCTTGGCTGCCAGTCAGTGCGCTTCACCCCCACTTGTCATCAGTGTGATGGGTTTTTCAAAGAACACCCTGCAGAAACTTCAGTGGGAAAAGTGTTTGGGTATGAATAACAAGTAGAGACAGAACCAGAAATAGAAACTTTGAGTTGAAAAATAAAAACACTTGGTCTTTTGTAGCCACAAATGCATAACCCATTGAAATGCAGTTTGACTGATTTTGGACTGCTTTAAGTTTTAAGTGTGTCTGTCACTAAAATCCTCTCACTAAATGTCTCACAGGAGCATCCGAAGTTGAGAAGGCTCTGATGAACACTCTCTTCTCCAATTACAACCTGAAGGTGCGGCCGGCAGAGCGCCCTGACGAGAGGGTGGTGGTTCGCATTGGCATGGTCCTCTCCTCCTTTGTAGGACTGGTGAGGCTCAAGATCCAAACACATGATTACAGATAAACATACACAGCCAGTCCAGATGAGAAGTATTAAAGTTAGGTCAAAGGTCTTCAAAAAGAAAAAAGTATGTACAGTGTTAGGTAGGGCCAAAGAAATCAACCAAAGAAATTCTTGGTCGACTAAAACCCGGAAATTTTTGACCAAAAAAAGACGTATCAGGGGGTTCCCAACTCCGAAGGCAAACCCCTCTGTGGTGGGTGGTGACACGGCTTGGTGGACCGTGGCTCGGTGGGGTGAAAGTATATACTGATATCAGCACAAGAAGGCAATTAAACACAAAAGGCAAGTTGAAACGCTCAAAATGAAAAATAAATATTTAGCAAACCACCAGACGTTGATTAACACGGATGCCCTTCAATCCTCCTCGGCCTCCAGTGGGTTGGGCGAATACAAAATGGTTAAAACAAGGGGGGTGTTCTGAGACAGGCTGTTACCTGTGAAATGGGGGAGCTCTGAAAACACCCCCATTAGCACTAGGTACGTTCCTCCTGATGAAATTCACCATAGACTGTAAATTGACATGGAAATAAATCGAGTCTACTAATCAGAATTTTGGTCGACTCAGCACAAATCTACCAATTAGTCGACCAGTCAACTAAGACTTTACAGCCCTAGTGGTAAGGTGAAGTTGCAAGTGAGTTATGTATTTGTGAAGCTGTGTTAAGCTTGTGTTTTAAAATGTTAGGCTGACTTTATACTACAAAAGCTATAAAGTTTGTGTCAGCTTTCAGAATAAGATTTTCTCCTGTGACAGTCGGGACATGAAACCCTCTGAGACGCCTGCAACCCCCATGCTTCTCCTCCTTTATGACTTGACATTTTACTGACATTTCTCCAAGTTTCATTACTGTAACATCCCGAGCTCTTCTGCCTCAGGAACAGTCCTTCCTGTGATAGATACATTTTTAAAAACCCAGTCTGAGTTTCACTGACAGACGTCTCCATAAAAGCTTTAAACACACCCAATGTGCTGGGGACCAATGTACTCCCCCAAGTCCCACATGACAGGATGACAAAATTCACTCATTTTGGCATAAAAGATAGCTCAAAATGTGGTGCTAGTTTTTAATTCAAAATGTTTCTTGGAGGTATCTGCTTCTGAAGTCAGTGCTTTGGGCCACTATAAATGAAAGTCCTGCTTCTCACACACATACACACAAACATACACGCACACTCCACGGTTATCTGTACCTATACTTCCCCTTGGTGCTTTTTCTGCAGTACATGTATGCATAAAACCGGCACTCACACACCTGTCACATTTGCATACACTGCTATCATGAGTACGCTCCCTGCACCTCCACTCAAGGTCATTCTCACTCTGGAGAGCAAGTCACATGGGGCTGAAAGTTCTGAAGTGGAACGATCTTGAAAACTGACCCACTTGGATACTCAGCCCCACTGTGCCCAGTACTGTTCAGCTGGATAACAGCAGTGTCATTATTACCAATGCCGCCCCCAGACCAGGGGTGAATTTAGAGACTTACAGGAAGTATCATTGATGAGAAAGGTGTGTGTGTTTGTGCCAGGGTGAGGGAGAGATGGCTTAAGTCAACCTCCCTCTGCCCCTAACCCCCTCTCTGTTCATGCCCCAGCTGTCTCCCTGACATTCCTCCAAGTGTTTTAAATAGCAGGCCTGGCTCAGGGAAGCTCTGCCTTCATGTTGAATACACAATCACGCATACAAGTGCAGACACATTACGTGAGGGTCTGAATGAACAACTTTACCAGCTCTCAGATGATAATCTATGTCCTGGAAGTAGCTGGAGTGTGTCCATTACTGTCAAACATACCAGAGGATGCAGTCAGCTGTTCAGTCTGCTGGGTTAGAGTTACTGTCAGCAAGGACAGGCTGTGTTTCATACGTGTTATGTTGCGCTCGCTCAATGTATGTCTGACAATGAATCTTAGAGCTTTCAGCAGTGTTCAAAGACATGTTTTTTTAAAGCAGTTTTGAGTCCATGCAGTGATTTCTACTACAGAGTCAGCCCTCTCTAAATGCAGGCATGTTGCTGGCATACAATTGAAAATGAGCATATTCATTTTAGTACCTATAAAAGATACTACAGAGTAGGACTGGGCAATTTGGTAAAAAAATATGATCACGATATAATTTGTCATATCGTCCGATTTGACAAAAAAAAATTACTTCTATCTAAAGCACCTGTTCTAAAAACTAAAGAAACTAGAGATTAGTTCAACATTTTATTAACATACAAAGTAAAATACAAAGCAAATTAATTAAGATAAACTTCGAAAAATATGCAAACTATTTTTACTCAACAGTACAACAAATATAGATAAAAACTAAATCATACAGTGAACTAGTTTACGGTCCTGAGTGTTTGAGTATGTCCTGAGTATGCAATACCCGAAATAAAGAAATGGCCCCCTCTGGGATAATTAAGACACCTTAAAATGTAAACATTAGATGATGTAAACGTAGATGATATGATTGATTGCTGCTTTGGTCTGGTGGCTGCACCGCTAGTTGTGGCTAAACTGTCACTGCTACTTGTGTTGTCAGCATCATCAGGCTGTGCAGACTCCACTTGCATTTTCATGCTTTCCACATAATCACTGGGGAAGTACTTCTTCAAATGATCAAACAGATCTGTTGTGTTGCTGGTTTTTGAGGGCACCAACTGCTGACATACCTTGCACATCGGCTTAATTGTTCGACGTCACTTTGGTGGTACCCGAACCACTGCCACACAACGTTTAATAACTTTTCTTCTCAACAATGATATCTTCAGAGGATGACTCAAAGTCATGGCTGACATCTATTTTGCTGTCTCAGCTCCATGTTTAGCTTCACTGACAGTCTTTCGATTTACTTCTTCTATTTACTTCTCCAACAGTTTACAGAAGTGAGCAGCAAACACTTGTCTCTAATTGGCTGTTGTCACACACATTTCTGCCATGTCTGATCAAGTAAATATGCTCACAGCTGATCACGACGATCAAACTGAAATTTATCACAATCATATAATCCCCCAGTCCTACTATAGAGTCATAATACTCTGCACATTTTAAACTTTTTTTCTGAAAACTTGGAGACAAGGATGATTAGAGCACAGCTTTCTTTGCTAGTATAGCAAAATGAAGGAGTAAGTGTAGCACACCTGAAATGCTGTGTCCAATTGTGAGTGATACAATCCTATGGTGGCAAATCTTTTCTATATTTTCTCCTCCAGAATATGAAAAATGAAGAAATGAGCACGGTTGTTGTCATGAATCTGGTGAGTATGTTTACATGTCAACACCTCTCACCTCTTACTGTGTTGCTGTCTCCTCTGTCTGTACTCATGTCATTTCCTCTCAACTACAATACTATCACTTTTTTAACATTATTTACAGGAATGGACGGATTACCGGTTGGGTTGGAAGCCAAAGGATCATGATGGGATTGAGGTGATGCGTATCCCCTCCTCGAAGGTTTGGCTGCCTGATATTGTCCTCATCAATAAGTAAGCATAAGCCCTGCACTCAAAGCATGAATTCAACAACACACGTGATGAAATGGTCATTTTATTGCCATTTTTAGATCATAGTTTTATAATGAAGATGATTTCTTTAGAGGTCCTTCAAACTTCAAATGCTGTACAAAATAAAATGATCAATTTATATGCGTACAAACATTAAAATACCAAAGCTAGGAGCTGACACAGGATATATCAATCAGAGCAGGACTAGTAAATTGTTATTTCCTCCCAGTTTATCATGTGGTAGCATCACAGAAACAATGAAGTGATCCAGCTTTGTAAAGGCTGGACTTTTGAAGCCTCAAGTTTGAAATATTAGGGGCTCTATCTCAAGCCAAAAGTCACTGTATTTGGACAAGAGGGTGGAGCCAAAGAGAATAAAAGGTTCACAGTTTTAAGCTAGTTCGTTGAAGTAAAGAAACTGGACATTTCAAATGCATCCTTATTATTATTATTATTATCCTTTAAATGAAATTAGCTGAAGAGTTAAACTCTGAATTTTTACTCTTTATAAGCCTGAGCAAAAACTTTTTCTTTCTGTTATTGCAGTTTTTAAGTAGAATAAGTCAGATTGCAGGACTGATTTTCATAATCTAAAATGCTTTGTGTAACATGGGTGATGACATTTAAGTTAGGGTCAAACACACCGTAACAGAGAGTGGAATGTTGCCGACTGCTCGCTTCCCTAGTTATACCAACTCAAGCAAGGAAAGCATGAAAGCAATACAAGCAATACACAGCGGTCTAAGGGCTCTATTTTCGTGCCTCACCGGAGACGTGCTGCAGGCGCGGCATAAGTCAGGTCCGCCACACCGACAAGGCGTTCCCAAGCACAATTTGGTATTTTGGTGAGCGGCGCAAGTATCCCCCCTCCCTAATTCAGCTCCTCCCAGAGGTGTAAGTCGTAGCTAGGGAGGAGAGAGGGTGTGGAGTGGGTTTAACTCAGCCGAGATCACATCATATATTCCAAAAATGGCATTAAAATCGGAACCATCTGTGCATAAATGGCGCATCGCGCTCCGTGGCCTGGCACTTTCTTTCATAGATGTTGGCATATAAAATAAATTTGGCTCACAAAACTGAATATAACAATAATCATATGTAGGCTTAAAGTAGATAACTCATCTGATCACTGAAACAAATCATCTGTTCAGCTGCAGCAGGATGGGGAGAGGACACAGAGACATGTCCAGATCAAGCTGCACGAGAAATAAGAGGAAGAGGAAGAAAGAAAAGGAGGGGGATAAATTACATATCTTGTTAACTTCATCATGTGTGTTTATTTACTAGATATTTAATTTAATGTGGTTTCAGCTGTCTTGATTCAGTCAGGTTGTGTGTCCAAACGAGTGCCAAACCGCTCATCAGATCAGATATAGATCACAATATATCTATATAGATCTAAATGTTTGTGCTGACTCAGATCATTAGTTGTTGATGGTTATTTATTGCACTGAAATGTGCCTGACACTGTAGAAACCTGCTGGTGAGGCATTGGTGATGTATGCTGATACGCTGCCAGTCTACCAAAATACCACTAGACCTGCGCTGAAAGCGGACCAGGTTTGAATTGGTAAGCTTTCAGCACACTTTACACGTCGGTGGCGAGCACGAAAATGTCACTGCTGCAGCTGGTTCTGTCGACACCTCCCTCTGCCACGCCACCACACCCTGCTTGGTGGATCTCGGTGTGCTTCAGTTCACAAAAATACCAAACTGGCTGTATGCCGGGCTCTGCCAGACAAAAATACCACTGCGTGTGGTCCGCCGCACCTAACTTCATCAACAGTGCATATAGAGTCCCAGCCATAGCACTAGCCACCAAACATTTTTTTAACTTTAAATTTATTTAGCAAAGAGACTAAACACAACTCACCTACTCTCTCCCAGCAGTTGCTTGATTGTTTGGGAGCGTGGACAGTCCATCACAAAGCGCAGTGGGTCATTTCCTTTAAGTAATACTCATCATAATAATCATTTTGCACTTTAGACCCAGTAGTTCTTCTGCCTTAGCGTCTCAGTCTGATTGCATTTACATGAAGAAATGATCATAAATTTTCTCCCTTGAGCTGTGAAACTGAGCAGCACTTCAACTTAGTTTTACGCCAGAATATCCCTTTAATGACTGTGTATTACATGTCTAGGCAAATTCTAAGTTCTTCTCTAGTATAGCATGAAAATTAAAAATTAAAAAAATAGATACGAAACAATTCCTAGATCAGACTGTAAACGTATTTAATTCTGCTGTAAAGTTGTTCATTTGTTGACTGGGCTCAGTGGAAACTGACTCACTTTCAGAAACAGCTTTCAGTGCTCACATTGTGGTTCTGCTACAGCTCTAATGTGTCCCTTTTTGCATCTTAGATTCCCACGTGAATGCTTTTGCCAAATGAACACTGGCTTTAAAGTTCAGTACAGTAAAGTTAACAAGTGGTACGCCAAATTGAAATACCCTCAGGATGATAAATAACCCCTTTTAACTTCTAGTGGGGTCCTGACAACACTACCGGGAATCTAGTTTGCATGTTCTCCCACAAGCATTGTTAATATCATCACTTTTGCCTGTGGTTCAAGTTACTTTGTGGCAATTGGCAACCAAGAGATGCTCTCACCAGATCTGGTGCCATTGCCTGGATTGAAGGACAGTACTTTGACTGAGGCTTGGCAGCTCTTAAGGCTGCTGTCCCACTTCTGCCCAATAGCTGACATAATTTTGCTGATTCTAAAAGCCAGCCTGATGGACACTCAAGCTTTTTGCCACAGTGTCAAAAGGCAGTGTTGTAATGTTCCAGTCTCCTCTCTGCAGATTTGCTGCGAAGGATTGCTTGAACTTGTTATAAATTTTTGACCAATCAGAATCAAGAACACAGCAGGGTTATTTTACAACAACAATACAGTACAGTTCATATTTAATGGAAGAACTCAGACGCAGTGTTGAGTTGGATAATTTAGACATCTAGACAGTAAGTGGAGTCCCTTTCCTTACACCCATTTACACACTCCCATTAACACCACTGCTTCATTCATCAACACTTTATAGGCAATTAAGCAGCGTGGCTCCCTAAAACTGAGATGATGGCCTTGCTCACTTGGAAACCTACACACACACACACACACACACACACACACACACACACACACACACACACAAATATATACATAAACACGAGAGCAATAGCAATGCATATGTTTTTCTGCATGCGCGTGATCTGTGTAGGTTAACAGAGCACCAGCACCTTGCTTGTAAGGCTGTTGTTCTTCAAGGGCCCACTTTAAGGACTCAGACTTAAATTAACAGAGCCATAAACTCCAAACCTATTGGACAGTTAAATCTGGATCTGACTGACTTGATATCCCTGTTGTCTTCAGTGTTACGAGCTTAATAGCCAAACACATTGTACCCACCCCACGTTAATGTAGTGCTGAGAAGTGTTCTGTTAAGTGTTTTGAGTTCCTTCATTGTATCTGTGTCAGCAAGAGTAATACAGTGAGCTTAAACACGGGATTGCAGCAGAATGTTTTTGTATGCTGTAGCTGTGGTGAGAGAAAAGAAGATGCAGTGTGACTTCAGAAGGAAGACATCATGTATACTGCAGATACTTTATGTAAACTGGAGCTTTACCCCAACTTTTTTTATAGCTTATTGTGCTCTTCCTGGTCACAATCAAAATGCTGCATGGTCAGGTCAAAAGTGGAGGGATGACATGATACTGCTGTTATACATGGTATGTGCAGGACAGTTGGCAGTGTGAGCTGTTGGTGTTCCTAATATTGGCTTTAAATTAATGGTCCATCTTACACCTGAGCCTTAGAACAACACAGACGTGGCTGAAGTTTCAAGACCGCAGTGTGTAACATTGTGCTATTGTTGAGATAGAAACATGGATACATAAGGGTTCACAATGTGGATTCCTCTGCTCAATATAACAGGATGCTGCTGCTCTCCAACTCGTAAAGAAATATTGATGTATTTTGTATATTTCCTTCTACTGTGAAATTGAGTTAATCGTTTGTAGGCATAAGTATAATTTTCCCTTGTCTCCTGATATAATGATGCTACTTCTGGTAAAGACGACATCTAAGAGCATCCGTAGGTGCTTTAAAGATCACTTCAAAAAACATGAATGTTGTTTCAGTGGTGTTACTCACTCGTTTGGGAATTTTGTAGCCTATTTATGACTGATTTGCTATTTTCTTTGAAGCTCCTTGCTAAATGTGATAAAAATGTTGATAATGACTACCGCTTTCATTTCAAATACCAATGGTGGGTGGGGCTGGGGGTGTAATGAATCAGCTGTGTGATCAGGGACAATAACTCACTAATTAATCAGCTGTGTGATCGCCAACAATAACTTGCTAATGCCAATATTCCGCTAATACTAATGCTAATACTCCGTGGTGTGCCGCATGTGTGTATACTGATACATCCCAGCCTCAACCAAGTCTCCTGAAGTAGCTGTGCAGGGGCACTGAGTTGCCTACAATTTGACAGTAATTCTGTCTAGATATGACAAAATGATGAAAACACAGCATTGTTTAGCACTAGTTAAAAGCATCAAAAATGCTTTAATTAATGCTTTTGAATACATTTTTTTTTTAAATGCAATAATACCAAAAACCATGAATATTTTGGTCACAATCACTGTAAGGTAGAATTTTCATACCGCTACATCCCTAGTTACCACACATCACACAAGTTGGCTGTGCCTTTAAATCAAAGCTGATTAACCCCTATCACATTTGACTCAGTGTTTGTGACCTATTCAGGAAGATGAACAATCCAAAAAGTCATCTTAACTTATCCAGTTATCAGTGTTAAAAGGAAAGCTGCTAAAAGATTGGGCACGGTATCATCTATTAAAGGGAAACTCACCAAATCAACAACACAATGATTTTTCATTGTCTCACAAAACTGTCAGTTTGACCAATTTTAACTGGAGTACAACAATAAGATGTTTTTGCAGCATGGTGAATGGTCCAACTGTTAATGATGCATTAAAACTGTTTCAATTAGCTAAAAATCTGATGTTTTACTGTAACCTCTGTTTGCAGTAATGATGGGGTGTTTGATGTGGCCCTGCATGTCCATGTTCAGGCTTACAGTGATGGCAGAGTGACCTGGACCCCCCCTGCACTCTACCTCAGCTCATGTGGAGTTAAGGTGAACACAATAAAATTAGATAAACTAACACTCTCCATGTCACTCCATGCTTTACTTTTTTTTCTAACTGTATTTCCTCCCTGATTCTTCATTGTTTCGTGTTTTTATCCAGGTCACATATTTCCCATTTGACTGGCAAAACTGCACCATGCAGTTTCGCTCATACACATACGACTCAACAGAGATTGATATCCAGTACGCATTGGACTCCAAAGGCAATGAGATCAAGGAGATTCAGCTGGACGAAGCTTTTAGTGGTGGGTAACACATGGCAGGGCAGAAAAATTTCTGAACCAACATCACAGGAGTGTTTTACTCTCTATCTCCTCATATTGTCAGCAAAAGTCACCACTTTTCTTCTGTAAATCCCCAAACTATGTCTCCAGAGGGCGGTGAGTGGCACATCAGACACAAACAGAGCAGGAAGAACACGAATGACGATCAATATGAGGACATGACCTTCTACCTGATCATTGAGAGGAAGCCTCTGTACTACGTCTTGAACATCATCCTCCCCTGCATCCTCATCACCATCATCGCCATCTTTAACTTCTATCTCCCTCCTGATGCAGGTACACCACAATACAGTTAGTCATCTACAGCTGAAGATGCGTAAAAGTTTACATTTAGTTTTGCTTTAGTAAGCATTAAACTGCCTTATTCTTGCTCTATAAAACTGCCAGGACTATTTTCCAGTTGTGTTTGTGTGGTCTGTTTTAATTGGGCTATCACATATTTGTCCAATTACTGGCACAAAGGGATTCAATTTCAGATTACAGGGTTAATTAGCATAAAGCACTGCTAAATCAATAACCTCCAAAATTACAAAAAAGTAGAAATGAGCCGCTCACACACAGATGCTAATCAGCTTAAGACTCTGCTTTGATCGCACACAAGTTCAAACAAGATTCCCCTCAAAGATTTTACTGTTTAAAAAGATTCTTTCAGTCTCTATGTGTTCACTGCTGCACTTTTACACATGAATTTAATTTATACAAACAGTGTCACTGATCCAGATCATAAGAAGTAACACAAACTTCAGCTGTTACTCTCAGGAGTTAAACGTAAACTGGATTCACTAAAAGTAAAAACTAATTCACAGTATTTTGACTTGGTGGGTCAGAAAGTGGCAGGGAAAGACTGTGAGGCAGAGAAGTACATCCTTTTATCTCCTCCATATTTTTTCAATCAGCTGCAAGCCGACACATTAAACATTTACTTACACAGGGGCAAAGGATGGAATCAAAGTCAGGCCCTCGGAGCTGGAGAAGCAAAATAAGCCTTATAATAATTAAATATGAGTATTTTCAAATTCATCTCACTGCTCCCCAATGAAGACAAGTGGTTTAAATTATCATTATATTTGAAGTTTGGCTTTTTAGCTCAGGTCTATTGTCATTGGATGGGGGCCACCTTTATAGATAATCTTTATAGTAGGTAGTGGAGTCGAAATCAGTACAAAATGCAAGTTTTAACTTGGCAGCTGACAGTTTTGAGTTTTGCTGAGTAAAATGTGCATTTCAAACAGTATTGTTGTTATTTTGTATTTCATTGTGGTGTCAGCAGGAGCAGCTTCATTGGTGTGACAAAAGGGACAAAACAGACGTATGAGTTAAAAAAAATGCCATAGTTCATTATTTTCATAGAATAGATATTACTTGTCATTATGCAGGCTTATACACAACAAAATTAAAGAGGCTGCTCGACAGGTGTGTTATAATAAAAATATAAATATGTTTGTCCAGCATACAATCTTAAAAACAACGAACAAGTACAAGTATAAAGACATTCTCACAGCCCCAAAATAATAAAAACTACATTCGTCTCCTGTAGGTGTATTCATTTTGGTCGAGTAAGCACCAAATTTACTGCAAGTTAATGTAATGTAAAAAAGATCTAGTCTGTCTGGTCATGCTGTAAGAGATAGAGGACATGAAGACATTTTGTGCTTGGGTATTTTAGACTCATTATGCCAACTCTTTTCTATTCTAGCCTCTGTTATCTCCTCACCCCTGATATTTGGACCATGAAACCTCAGTTTATAGTGATGCTCAAAGTGTATTGTCTTTCCCCAAAGGACAGAGACAAGTCAGCATTACTAATTTTATTATCTTGCTGGTTACCAAGAAAGGCTTCCATGTTGAACTTTGGTGTAACAGTGTTCCTCTCTCTGCTTCAATGGTTCCACAATGTGGGTTCATGCACTTCCTTATTTCACATCTATTTTCTTTTTACCCACTATGTCTGTCCAATCGGAGGTAAACAGTGTGTAAGAGACCTCTGAATACACCTGGGACACCTTGCTCTATAGGCCGATCAGCTTCACTTACACTGGGAGATGAATTTTCCATTAGAGTCATTATAAGTAAATTGCTCAGAACAGCTGCAGCTAAACAGTAGATCTCACTCTGGAGGAGGAGGAGGAACAAAGCAAAATGACTCGTAACCTCCATAGAATTAAACACTGAGAGCCCACTTCTGTGGAATGCACTTTAAATCAGAACCAGAGGGAAACAATGAAAGCCCCCTATATACAATTGATTTTTTCCTCCCACCACCAGGAGAGAAGATGGGTCTGTCCATCAATGTGTTGCTCACCCTCACTGTGTTCCTGCTGCTGCTGGCTGATAAGATCCCAGAGACCTCCCTGGGTGTCCCCATCATCGTTAACTACATCATGTTCACCATGATCCTGGTCACCTTCTCCGTCATCCTCAGCGTGGTTGTCCTCAACCTGCATCACCGCTCGCCAAACACACATCGAATGCCCATGTGGGTCCGCATGGTGAGATCCCTGCCTGCACACTTTAAGTTTGTACCATATTTAAGGATGAATCACTGATTTATTAAGTGTTTGACCTGATTAGTTGTCACTGACTACAAGCCAGGTCATCTGCTTTTTCATTGATCCTTTTGATATAACTAGACTTAATTTAACTGAGACTTCATCCCACACTTGTGAACAAGACTCTGAGATGCTTGATGGTTCTCATCCCTGACCCTGATAAGGCACTCCACCTTCAAAATCTAGTTTGATAAAAATTTTACTCAGCGCTCTGTTTTTTTTAACACAAATATTTATCTTATCTGTGTAAGTGCTCATTTATCTTTCTTTTTTATTTACTTTATTGACAGTCTGTTCATTTTTGCACTGTCTTCAGTCTTGACACATGTTGTTTATTTCAAACCTTAATAACAAGGCTATGAGTCAGGATGCTTGGACATGTTGAAATGGCAGCTTTTCTTTGAGAAAAATAAAAAGACAATCGTGCAGCACAGTTGTGTCACAGCTGTTTGCACGCGCAGTGTAAAAGTTGTTAAGGCTGATACCACAATCAAGATTTAAATTTCTTGTATGACAGCCTTTTTTTGTATGACAGTCTTTGCGGATGTCCTTGCGTTTTTTTAACTGTCTAACTTGGCTAACAGACTGGCCGTGATTGAGACCAAGTACGTAAAGTTGACCCAGCAATTTTACATCATTGGAAGAAATGCCCCCTCGTTAATAAACACCTTTGAAGAATGTTCTTGAACCACTGATTATTTTTATTTTTCCCTATTGTACATTTTTACTTATCAATGCCTTTAATATATTTTCACTTTGCTCTGTATTTCCATTGCAAGTTTGGTCTTTAAATTTCTTTTAAGGTGATATTAAAAAGGTCTTTAAAAGTCTTAGCTATAACCTCTTCATATCTGTAGTCACCCTGTGTACACAATGCTCACGCGGTCCTGTAAACACAGAATATAGTTAAATCAATCTGCTTTAGGCTATGCTAAGTGGCTTGTTGTCATGTACTGATACTCCGGGCTCTATTTTCGTGTACGCCGGTGAGGCGGCAGAGGGTGGCGGACCCCGCGCAGTTGTATTTTCATTTGGCGGAGCCCGGCGTACAGCCAGTTTGGTATTTTCGTGGACTGAGGCGCACGGAGGAGATCCGCCAAGCTGGGCGTGGTGGCGTGGCAGGGGGAGGTATCGACAGAATCAGCTGGTGCAGTGACATTTTCGTGCTCGCCACCAGTGTATAAAGTGCGCTGAAAGCTCGCCGATTCAAACCTGGTCAGCTTTCAGCGCAGGCAAAACACAGCTGGTCCAGTGGTATTTTGGTAGACCGGCGGCGTATTGGCATACGTCACCGATGCCTCACCGGCAGGTTTCCACAGTGTCAGGCACATTTCAGTGCAATAAATAATCAACAACAACTAATAATCTGAGTCAGCACATACATTTAGATCTATATAGATATATTCTGATCTATATCTGATCTGATGAGCGCGTTTGGCATGCGTTTGGACACGCAACCTGACCGAATCAACACAGCTGAAACCGCATTAAATTAAATGAAATATCTAGTAAATAAACACACATGATGAAGTTAACTAGATATGTAATTTGACTCCCTCCTTTTCTTTCTTCCTCTTCCTCTTATTTCTCGCGCAGCCGGACCTGGACATGTCTCCGTGTCCTCTCCCCGTCCTGCTGCAGCTGCTGTTGCGGCGATTGAACAGATGAATTGTTGCAGTGATCAGATGAGTTTTTTACTTTAAGCCGAATACGGTAAAGAGCCAGACCATGGTGCGCGATGTGTCATTACGCACAGATGGTTCCAATTTTAATGCCATTTTTGGAATTTATGTTGTGATCTGTGCACACAACCCACCTTTGTCACGTGAGGTTTAAATATATGCAACTTATTGTCAGTGTCTTTATTTGTGGAAAAGGGTGTTTGTCTTACTAGTGGGTCCAACATTACACACACCAAATCCATCTGTGCTCATATGAGAGAGTGTGGAGGAGAGGGAGTGTGGAGCGACACTTGTTGAGAAGCTGCCTTCTGTCACCATCGTGTGGCATTACTGTCTTCAGCCATCTCTTGATCTCTTTGACTACTTCATGAAAATAGTAATACGCCTCACCGGTGGCAGATTTAAAGACGAGGAGAGGAGCTGATGTTATTGGTCAATACAGGTCTTGGCTGTGTTAAATCCACTCCATGCCCTCTCTCCTCCCTCGCTACGACTTACGCCGCTGGGAAGAGCTGAGTTAGGGAGGGGGGATACTTACGCTGGGCTGCGCCTCTCACCAAAATACCAAATTGTACTTGGGAACGCCTTGTCGGCGTGGCGGACCTGACTAACGCCGCACCTGCGCCGCATCTCCGGCGAGGCACGAAAATAGAGCCCTATGAGTTAGTATCTAACTGATACTTGATACCAGGATTGGATCAGTGCCTCCCTAGTTTGAGCAGATTTGCATCCTTTACTTCAAAACTTATGTAAACATCAAAAACATGAAAATGTTGGCACAAGTATGTTCTTTTACGTTAGCGCTTTGCGTAAGGAATATCTGCACTACAGAAACTCCGATCTGACTTAAACTATAACTGTGCCTAACTTCTTGTCCATGTTTAATCCACCAGTAATGATTCATTAAACTCATACAAGCCTTAATGATCACCAAACATCAATAAGAGATGGGAAGTGTCACTCTTTCAACACTATCCCTGGTGTCACAGTCTGTTTTAACACACGCATCATGAAACTGGACCCACATTGCAGGGATTTATATCCCCTTGTACTGATGCAGCCACTGTGATTTGTGACCTACAACACCAACTGCATCCTGGTTAGGGCAGTGAACACACTCATAAAGGGCTGTGCCTCCCTCTTATGTTAGAGTGGGTGTCAGTGTTTACTGTTAAAGCGCATTGGTGCACAGCTATCAGGGAAGTTGGAGGGTTTTTTTTTCTGTTCTGGTTTGACAAGTAACAGCACTGCAGGGATTTTCCTCTGCGTTCAAACAGGTCTGCTCTGCTGTAAAGTGTTTCAACTGATGACTCGATGAATAGATGGACAGAAGCAGTTCTGGCTGTTGCTCGTCATCTAAAAAGTCCTTAACTTTTTTTTTTCTTGTTTGATATGCCTTTACCTGAAAACAGCCACTTCAGGAAAATAGTATTGTGTTGTGTTTAGTTACTCCTGAAAAGATACAGGAGATGCAGGAGAAAAATTGTCGAGCAGGAGAAAAAATGAAAATAGAGATCACAGAGATTCAGTCAGAAGCTACAATATACTGAGTCCTGTACACAAAGTATTGTAAAATCACCTTTCTCTGCTTGTAGGCACAGACCTGAGTGAGGTCCATGAATCACAGGAAACACAATTGTCAGTAATATCTCACTTTTACTACTCATGAATCACTGTAGAGGGGAATCTCAAATCGTACATGCACAGATCTATATGCACAGATTGAGCGCTTTACATATGTTTAACAAATAACTACTCCCTGTGTAGTCATAATCTTCCATAAGGAGACGGTGAAAATGCTTGTAGCTGAGTTCTCTCCTCAGGTCACCTTACCAGGGTCCTCTGGGTACCCTGCAGCCTCGGTGCTTCTCAGCTCCTCCTCTTGTCCAATTACAAAGTCTCCCAGCCCTCTCACTTCAGCCTTGATGTTTTTTTGTTTTTTTTTGGATGCTCTGTGCTGCTGTAATCATGTCACTGTGCATTACACTGGGGTCTGCCAGAGTCCCATATACACAAAGCAGCAGCGCTTAGTGAGTTACAGCAGCCATCATTGTGATAGAAGGGCTCTGTAGATAAAGTGGGGCTCTCCTGGGTGCAGTTTTTCTCTGTTATTCACAGCTGAAGAAGTGCCAAGTGAATGAAAATCAAAGAGGTTTCATATAAGGTCAGCAGACAATATTGGACTGACAATATCGTGTCGTTTTTTTTCTTTTTCTTTCCTTGTGCTAGGGATTTCAAATTTGGTTTGTCTCTTGTTCAGACAGTTTTCTACTTTGGTCCAGTCAAAAAAAAAACTAAAGAACTTTGCAGATTATTTCCAGAAAGTCATGCCTAGAGATCTCCATCACTTTTACTCTCCTTAAGATTTTTCTATTCTGCTTCGTTAATTTCAAAGCACTAATCATCTAATAGTGTTAAGATGGATGCTTTCCCCGACTTTTCTTTGTTATAAACTTGATCTTCCACTTGTTTCCTGCCCCTTAAGCGGGTCATGAGGCAACATTTACATCCGCAGTATTTCTTTTACAGAACAATGTTTTTTTCCCCCGCTCAGCCCAAAAAAGTCTTCACTAGGGGAGCCTTTTATAATCTCTTTTGAGTTGAGTCAAGGAACTCTAGTGAGGTTTTCTTACCCTATAGGCAAATAATTAAGGTATTAATTTTAGACCTAATAACATAAAATAGGACAGTATTTTGGACTTTTCAGGTGAATGTGGTATACATTTGGTGTTTATTTAATTTATTAAATTTCCCTTTGGGCTCCTTTTTTCTGTGTTGTTTCTGTGGTGTTTTCTTACCGTTAGACTGTCCACTTTGTTGGTTCAATTTGTACTAAAAGTTGTGACGTCGTCCCTAAGAGATATCTATCAGCTGTGTGTTTATACAGGTTCATGTGGTGAATCTGGCTCACTGTTTGGCATGCACATTTTGAACACTGCATCTTAGAGCCCCTTTAGTGAGGCAGCTGCGCTCATCTGTGTGTGTCTACTGTAATACATGGGGAAAAAGCTCAGCAGATATGACAGGTGTAAAGGTGTACTAAAAAAATGAGGATATGAGCAGAACGCCAGCTGAGGTCACATCAGAAGAAAACGTTTGATTCAGAATGAAGGCCAAGTCAAAACTGCTAAACAGGTCAAGTTGCTCCAGCTCTTATTACGTCTCTGTTGTAGCTACAGTGCAGCACCATTCTTACCAATGGGCCATTATTGACATCCATCTGTCAATACAATCAAGCCATAAGTCATTTCAATGGAGTGATATCTCAGTGCTTTGGAGTGCAGATAAAGAGCCATTCACAAAGGCAAACAGCATTTATGGTATTGATCAAGACTCACATTTAGCCCCATAATTTGACATTTTATGCTTAAGTCCAATTCAAGTGTAGTCATTCTCTTCAAGGCTTTGCCAGAGAATCCAGAGCCTTTGCTGAAGGGCACCTTGAGAGTAGACATTGAGGAATTGGAACGTGTCACTCATTTGGTTTCTCCACCCACATCATTCAGCAGCGACTGTGCTCAAAGGTTATCTCACTGCTAAATTGAACATTTGGACTCATTTCTCAGCCTTAATAGGCAAATACAGGACGAGTACATTTCAGCTACCTCATAAATCATGAAGCAGTAGGCCAAACAAATGGATTTCTATTATAGAGAAGATATCTGAGGTCTGGAAGAGCCCAAATGCACAGATAAACAGCTGCATATTTCTCAATGCTGATTAAAGTCAAATAAAAACCTTCATGTACTCTTTTGACATTGATTAATATTACATTGGGGGGAGTGCAAATAAGCATATTTTCCTTTAAGAGGTGAAGATAACTGCTTTTAATCTCTCTTTCAGATTTTTATCCACATGCTGCCACCTTACCTATGCATGCTGCGGCCAAAAGTAGAGACACCCCTGTCTTTGGAGGTCCTACCCCGCCGAGAGAAGAAGATGGTTGCCATTAACAAAGCCGCTGATGAATACTTCATCCGCAAGCCTGACTCATCCATCCTGTTCCCCAAACCTAACAGGTAAGTGTAGACCCACTCTGGTATTCAGAGTCAGACAACTGGTGTATGTGTTCAATGCAAAATTTTACGGAAATTGGCGTAATGTGACTGAAATGGTGTTATCGCAAGAAGGACAGTTTGTCTGGAGAAATGTGCCTGGGGACCGCTCATTCGTGGCACCAATCGTGCATCTCTTTACAAACACTCACCCGCCCCTTCCCTCCTAAATAAACAGCATGTCAAAGCGGCTTGTACAGACTTATGTGTCAGGTGACATGCTTTTTTGCAAATCCTGTCAACATACCATTGACTGGAAATGCAATAAAATATGTGTGATGACCACTTGTTGTCTAAAACCAAAGTGAAAAACAGAGAAAAACACTCTGCAATTGAACCATACACTGAATAATTTATTTTACTCAACCATTTACAAATGATTAAATTTTGTACTTAGAGCACTTATTGGTACATTGTTATGTTATGTTTTGACTTGAAATACTGGACAGTGATGTATTACAGCTATAAATGCAGGGATACTTGCATTTTATTAATTGACATTTTATTCACTTACACCAAAAGCAAACACCCTACGGTCATTCATAAATGTAAAAAGGAAAAAAAAGAATTTGAACAAAAAGAGAAAAAAAAAAATCAGATTCTACAGGGCCCTATATGTGTTGGTGCTCTGTTATTTTACTGTATGGTATGTGTGTTTGTCAGGGTTTGTGAAAATCCTGAACAACGAGAAAGACTTCTATCAAACCTGATAAATGTAGTTCAGGATTGTCCTGCAAGGTCATCTGTGTAAAAAGTATCATCTGAATACTAGCAACTGCAGCTTTAAAACCTGTGTATGCAGTGAATAACATTAATGGTGCATCCAAAAGTGTGTAAGCTAGGAGGATACAAAGTCCATGATTTCTAAAGAGAATGTCAAATTTTCAATTCAGACCACAGGAAAATTTTTCAACAGCCCATCCTAAATGGACTCAGGCCCAGAGAAGGTGCTGGTCTTTCTGGATCATGGTCATGTGAGGTTTTGTCTTAATATTGTACAGTTTTATCAGTTTAATTTACAGCAGTGAACTGTTCTCACAGTGAGTGATAGTTTGAGCCCATGCAGTGATTTCTACAACAGAGTCATGTCTATCTTTAATGCACTTCTACTGTAAAGCTTGTGGCCCTGCAGTGCAGATTTTCAGTTATTGGCCTCTTGTACAGAGATTACTCCTTTTTCTGAATCTTTAAATCATGTAATGTACTTTAATGATGGAATTCCTCTCAATTTCAGACTGAGACTAAGTATTTGACACTGTCAGACTATTTGCTCACTAAGTCTCTCACATAGTGGAGATCCCATTTTTACCTCTGGGCTTTTTTTTAAATTCTCCCTTTTATACCCTCTTACTCAAATCTAGATAATACATTAAAGGATATTTGTATCAGCTAGATGTCAAAGTCATGTCACATACAAAAGGGAGATTCAGTTTTTTTGTCTGATTTTTACTCGTGGTGCTTTGGTATGCTGCACTAATATACATAAACTTTAAAGTGTATGTCTCTCAATTTAAATGATGCTTATCTTACCAGCTGTCATGATAAAGGGACAAACAGAAAGCTCGTGTTTGAAACACATTTAGAGTCAACTGTTAAAAAGTGCACGATAGCACAGAAATTCAATAGACTGCATCATCTTCAGTCTTTAGTATTCATAGACTTTCAGGTTATCTTGAAGTCAGCCAGCCTGCATTTTCTGTTTTCCTCCAGCTTGCATTATTTTCTTCGCGCATATCAAACTTCACCAAGGGCAGCAGTTACCTCTCAAATAAGAAATACAGTATTTTTAATACCCAATTATACAGTATCTCTCCTTAACCTTACACACAGTGTGTATGAATGGCTTGTGTTGATGAATTGAGGCTTTTTTCTGCTTCAGGTTAAACCAGCACCTTTTTACAAATAGACTTTCAGCTGATTCTGACAAAGGGTTTGTTTACAGTGTGGCGGCCTTGGTGCACACAGTCATGATATTAACACAGGCTGCACATTGGCTGCATGAGTTTCACCCATAATAAGGTCATAAACCATCTTTAATCTACTGTTTTCAAATCGTCTTGACTTCATAGCAGTCTTAAGAATCGATTCATTATTGGAAAGAGCCAAGAGGCCTGTGGTCTGCTGTTGATGATAATTTAGTCGTTCAAAAACTTCCTATCACTCTTTACTTAGCAGACTGTGTGTATACAGGGCTGTTTTGGGGGTTAATCTTTTAGCACAAAAAAATCTGTATTCAGACAGAGACAGACAGAGAGACAAAAAAAGGAGGACAGAGAGAAGGACAGATCAGATGGAGGATAAGTTGCATAACCTGATGTTATTGGAATATTACAATGATCTGCGTAAAGCCCAATAAATTTTGACTCTATTTATGTTGTTTACCATATCAAGGGGGGATGCTTTGAGGTACTTGAAGGGATACCCTCCCAAAACTGTGTGTCACAAGCCAAATTATGCGTGTATATTTGAAAAAGCTTTATTTCTGCTGTAGCAATAAGCAATTTAATCTAAGTGTTATTGGAATCTCTAAGGATTTGGAGCCTTAGAGGTTTTCAAGCACTTCTACTTCTACTTCTGCTTTTTCCTTTTTTCCCCCCTTTTTTTCTACATCCCCTCAGTCCTAACTTAGGTGGTAGTGCAATTAAACTGACAGTAAAATAAACTTATAATGCAGCACTAGCGATACCACAGAGAAGTTTTTGGGCCAGGGATGATAAAGAATCAGTTCAATTTACTGTTCAGTTTGTTCATTACTTGGGCAGAAAAGGTGAAATTTCAAGAATAAAGTCAGAATGCTAGAAAAAAAGTTGAAAGTTAAAGTCATAAGATAGTTTAAATTTGATTTTGAGAAAAAAGTAGAAACTGAATTAAAAGAAAAAAGTATCTCATAAAATGGGAAGAGAAGAACAAAACTTATTCCTGATGTTAAGTACAAAGCAAGGGCTGTGTCCAAAATGGCATACTCAGAAGATGATTTGAGTATGCTGTGGCTGCCCGAGCGTTTACATACAGATGCATACTAAATACCCCAGAATGCATTTCGTGCCGCCCGGACGCAGCGCTGGGAAAATTTAAATAGTCGTACCACAAGCTTCACAAAACGACTGCGTTCCGGACAAATAATATAAATTCATTCAGTAATATTTTTTTTCTAGCGAGAAAGTAAGTGTTTACATCACGATAATGAGCCCAGTTGTTTGAAATAGTGGCTGTTTGTAAATTTGTCTCTGCGTTTTCGGAGACCAAAGCGTCCGCTTGGTGGGTGTTTGCGTTTACAAACGGTAAACAGCGGGCAGCAGCAGCTCCCCCTTCACGTTTCCAAATTATTGCGAAGTGTTTTCATAATCAACAACTACACGACACAAACTGAGCGGCAGTGAATGAAAAAAATAACGCAAACACCTGTGTATCCATGGTGATAATGCTATAGACCACCTGCTGGGCAACATAATTAATATGACCTCGTTCGGTTATTCCTTGGCAAATACATCATTTCCCGACTACATTCTTTTCATGTACAATGATAATTTCAGAAACTATCAGGTCGCCGCCATGAAAGAAGACAAGGGCGTCTTTTCTTCAGGGCAGCTATGTACTTCCTAATGGATTTTCAACCAAAAGTAAGAATTAGTAAAGCTCACATATACATTGTCAACTGGAAACTCCCTCTTTTGTATATTCTGAATCATGTGCTCTCTACCAATAATAATTTTTTATTAATCAGAGGTCTGTGCTTAATATGAGTGACCACTTTGATGATGCATTTAGAGATAAGAAGATGCTCAAACTTGTAATAAATACATCTTTAATAGACAATAAATAAAGTCAATTCATACGAATAGCTAAAAACATTACCTACAATCCTAATTTAAAATACAAATAAATCTGGTAAAAAAAATAAAAATATGATAAAATGATAAAAAATTGTGTAATGTATACTGACGAAATATTGTTTATCTATTTATATATATGTCATTATTATTGCAATCCCATGCCATCTATTTCTTTTCAGCCTTGGGAAAGAGGGCCATATTGCCAGCTGAAGTGGGCAATGCATTGTGGGGCAGAAGCAGTACGTGAAGCAAGCTCTGCTCCATACTCAGAAATCAAAGCCGATTGAGTATACATCCGGGCATTTCTCGCATACACAAAATTCGCATACTGTACAGTGTGAACGCACAGCCTACTCAATTCGGGGGCGGGGTTAGTATGAGTAGTACGAGTAGTATGCCAGTTCGGACACAGCCAAGGAATGCAAATGTTTTCTTCTTCTTTAGCTTTTTAAAGTGGTAGGCAAACAGCTTTTACATGTGCTACCGCCACCATCTGAAGAGAATACAACCAAACATTGATAATAAAAAACAAACCGGATCATTTCAGCTTCAACGTGTCAAATGTGTTATAAATTAAGAATTTTTTAAGCACTGAAAAATCCACGAACCTTCCCCTGTTGAGACTGTACTTTTTTTTATTTTTTTTTTATTGTTATGACAGGGGTTCATTTTGGTACAACCTTGCAAAGTTTTTGTTCAGTTTTATTGCCTCAAAAAAGGTCTTTATTTTGAGAATCCAAACACCTCAAGTGAACCCAGACTGATGATTTCCTTCGCTAACACTTCCACAGCTTGCTGTCTCTGAAGCTGTTGAGTAAGGTGCTGGCTTTAGGCCAAAGTAGGTGCTTAAATGGCAACAAACTATTCTTTCAGTCTAGCTGTGGTCTCTGTACTTTGTGTACAGGAAGTGGGTGACCTTGCTCGGCTGCATTTTGAGGAACGAGGAACTGTACATCCTGGGAATCAGCCACGATGTGACAACCTTAACCAGCCCGCCTCTCTGCTGCTCTATTAATAGACACTAAGTCTTCCTCACAGTCTGTGGCCATCCCTGCCTCTCTATCTGTCTTCACCTCCTGTGAGAATTGAAATCTGTCTAGTGGGAAAGACTAGGGGAGGCAAAGAATCGTTGCTAAAATAATAATGACCTGCACAAATCGACTCTGACACGTTAGAGCGGGACGCTGCTTGTCTAGGTGTTAGAACAGGTGACACAAGAAGGAGGGGAGGGTGGACTATTAGAGCAGTTTGATGAGACGGCAGTATCTCTTGAGCTTACACATACACACACCTTCTTAATTGGGTTTAGTGCATGTCTTGGCACCAGGTGCAGCCAGTTGTAGTTGAATTAGTCTCCTGAACAGTCATTTACTTCTCGCTGATGAAGTGCTACTTTAGGAGGAGGAAAAGAGGAGGGGTTGGGAGGCCACACTCTTTCCCTCTCTCTCTACCTCCTTCCCCCGTATCTCTATCTCTCCATCTGATGAGGCTCCACCTCTCTGAGGTCACAGCCTCTTCACCTGCCACACACACAGGAGCAGCAGCGATGGCAGCGCTGCATTGTAAACTCCTACACTGCTCCACAGAATACCAAGCGGCTCCTCACTTGGCCCTGGCTGTCAGGTCCTTCTTCATTTTAATGCTTCCAGGATAAGACACAGTGCCACACTGCCCTCTGGTGGTGATAAAATTCACCTGCAGCTTCTGTATCTGGGCCTTTTTTCAAGGATTTAAAAAAAAAATTTAAGCAAAAGAGGTGTTAAATATTTGAGGTGTTTCATAAGAAGACAGATGTTTGTGTCGGGCAGAGTGCAGCTGCTCTGTTGACGATTAATTTATCAAGTTTCTTTGCTCCTGAATCTGACCAAGAGTATGGAAGTTTTGGATGAAAGTGAGGCCACTTAGAGATATATGAGGAACAAAATTAAACATATATACATAGATTATTTAGCATTTAATTTTAAGTAAAGTTACTCTGATGTTTTGTTAGTCATCACTTGTCCACAAATTTGACTTTAGTCTGAATCCAATGACACTAAAAGCAGGACCGACCAGCAGAGTTATGTATCTATGCTTAAATATAAACACAGATTAAGTAATTGGTCTTGGGTAATTGCTTCTCTTATTTTGAAAAACATGCTCAGAAAATATGACGGATCAATACCTGATCAACATTTGAATAATTGCTGATTTTCTCATTTAAATCTGACCTGCTACTGTAAACGACAAAACCTTAAAAAAAAGAGAACATCCTTTGCTTTTAGCAGCAGTGTCACTCCTGAACATGTGATGTCCTGCAGAGATGGTTGTGCTGTATCACTGCTAAAAAAATAAAAGAGTATTAAAGCTCTGTGTCTGACGCTCGACTGGAGGCAGCTAATGGAAATCTATGTGTCATTGCTCAAGGACACTCGGCGTGATTATGCATGGAATTACAACAGAGAAACCAGAGCAGAAAAGGATCATGAGTAATGCTCTGCTTTTCTTCTATAGCTGTGTAGTAAAGCAGCTCTACATAGTCTATGGAAGAAGATAAGTCAGTTATGATTACTCAGTGATGGCTATTGTGCTTTATTTTAGAAGTATAGTGTTGCTCAAACTGTTTTAGTCATATTTTAATCACCGCTTCATTGACTATGTTGTGTGGCTAAAGTAGCTGGTGATGTATAAAAGCAAAAGATATCAGTGTGAAACTCGGTATGCACTGATCGTTAGGGCAGATCTATTCAACTCAGTTCTTTGCAACCATGTATGCTTACAACATTGTCAGCGCCGGTCGGTCCGTGCATTTAGCTGGGTGGAGAGCTAATGTTGCATGGAGGGAGCTCATTATAGAGAGCTAAGCAGTTTGGAGGTATTTCACAAGTAATACTCTAACAACTTTTTGGATGTTTTGAGAAATAAAATAGAAGCCAGAATAAAGCAAGTAACATTGTGAGGTTTAGTTTGAAAGTACAAAAAAAAAAGCAGAGAAGTTACTGGATCAACTGAAGACCTTTATTCAATTGAATACACAACAAAGACAAGATATTTAATGTTCAAACTCATAAACTTTTTTTTCAAACTATAATTAACTCAGAATTTCATGGCTGCAACACGTGCCAAAGTAGTTGAGACAGGGGCATGTTTACCATTGTGTTACCTCACCTTTCCTTTTAACAACACCCAATAAACATTTGGGAACTGAGGAGACTAATTGTTGAAGCTTTGAAGGTGGAATTCCTTCCCATTCTTGCTTGATGTACAGCTTCAGTTGTTCAACAGTCCGGGGTGTCCGTTGTCGTATTTTACGGTTCATGATGCGCCACACATTTTCAATAGGAGACAGGTCTGGAATGCAGGCAGGCCAGTCAAGTACCCACACTCTTTTACTATGAAGCCACGTTGTAACACGTGCAGAATGTGGCTTGGCATTGTCTAGCTGAAATAAGCAGGGGCGTCCATGAAAAAGACATTGCTTGGATGGCAGCATATGTTGCTCCAAAACCTGTATGTACCTTTCAGCATTAATGTTGCCTTCACAGATGTGTAAGTATTCTGGCTTTTGAACTTTGAGTCAATAACAGTCTAGATGGTTCTTGTCCTCTTTGGCCCGGAGGACACGACGTCCACTATTTCCAAAAACAATTTGAAATGTGGACTCATCAGACCATAAATGTTGATAAATGGCTTACGCTTTGCATAGTAGAGTTTTAACTTGCACTTACAGATGTAGCGATGAACTGTATTTACTGACAGGGGTTTTCTGAAGTGTTCCTGAGCCCGTGTGGTGATATCCTTTAGACATTGATGTTGGTTTTTGATACAGTGTTGCCTGAGGGATCGAAGGTCACGGGCATTCAATGTTGGTTTCCGGCTGTGCAGTCATTTCTCCAGATTCTCTGAACCTTTTGATGATATTATGGACTGTAGATGTTGAAATTCCTAAATTCCTTGCAATTGTACTTCGAGAAACAATGTTCTTAAACTGTTTGACTATTTGCTCATGCAGTTGTTCACAAAGTGGTGAACCTCGCCCCATCCTTGCTTGTGAAGGACTGAGAATTTTTGGGGAAGCTGCTTTTATAACCACTCATGGCACCCACCTGTTCCCAATTAGCCTGCTCACCTATGGGATGTTCCAAATGGGTGTTTGATGAGCATTGCTCAAATTTCTCAGTACTTTTTGCCACCTTTCCCAACTAATTCAGCAATTCAGGAACATCACTGATGATGTGTCCAGACTAGGCATCAGTAGATGTATGTACACAGCGAACACCCTGAGTTATCAGTGACAGCCAGGAAAGACTGGATGACAACCATGAAGAGTGTGGTGACTACTGGAGAGTCGTGACAGCTCGGAGAGACGGCAACCGGGGCAGAACGGGTTAGCAACCCAATCTGCATCCTCCGTGAGGAGGAACCCTACCAAGCTACGATGAACCTAATGGAAAGATAACTCCAGGGGTGCCCGAGAGGGGAGGAGGATGAGCACCCCAATCGGACGGACACTATGGTTACAGACCCAAGCAACGGACAATCGACCAGGAGCAAAATGTGTACATGCGGTAAGATCTGCAAGAACATCCATGGCTTGAAGATCCACCGAGCAAGGATGAAGTGCCCCTAAGGAGCAGTAGCAACACAACGCACAGGTGTTACACCTGGTGAGACGCAGGAGGTGCCAGGCCCGGAGTCACCCCACAGTGCCCAGAACGTCCATGTGTTGCCAACTAATCCCCCAAGCATCAAGTCTGACAGGAGGCGGATCAGATGGCCTGCAGCTAGCATGACCTCACTCTGGAACCAATTTGACGACAATGTCGACCAAATTCTGAACGCAATGGCAAAGGGAGATGCCGACGGGAAGCTACAAGCTATGTCAGCGGTCATTGTCAGTATGGCAGCAGAAAGGTTTGGTGAAGAGGAGAAGAAAAGCTCCGAGCCAACTTACTCCAAAAATCAAAGAGCAGTAAGGATCCACAACATCAGGCAGGAGATGGAAGCGCTGAAGTCCCAGTTCAAGGCAGCAGGACAAGAGGAACGCACTGGCCTAGCCCAGCTAATGTGCATCCTTCGAAAGAAGATCAGAGTTCTCCGCTGTGCAGAGCGGCATCGGAGGTGTCAGCGCGAGAGGGTACGGAAGCAAGCTGCCTTCATTGCTAATCCCTTCAAGTTCACAAAGGATTTGCTGGGGCAGAAGCGTAGTGGCAAACTGGCCTCCTCTCAGGAGATCATAGACCAACATCTTCAGCAGACGTACAGCGACTCCGCGAGAGAGCAGGAGCTGGGAGAGTGCAACATCCTCATTGACCCCCCGGAACCAGAAGTGCAGTTCAACATGTCGGAGCTGCAGCTAAAGGAAGTCACGGAGGTTGTCCACAGAGCTAGATCAAGCTCTGCCCCAGGTCCGAGTGGCACTTAATACAAAGTCTACAAGAACTGTCCCAAGCTTCTGCTACGTCTGTGGAAAATTCTGCGCGTCTTCTGGAGAAGGGGAAGGATCCCTGAACAGTGGAGAATGGCTGAAGGGGTATGGATCCCAAAGTAGAAAACTCCACTCAGCTGGACCAGTTCCGCATAATCTCACTGCTGTGTGTTGAGGCCAAGGTTTTCTTCAGCATCGTTTCCAAGCGGCTGTGTACCTACCTGGCAAAGAACACCTACATTGATACTTCTGTCCAGAAAGGGGGCATTCCCGGTATTTCGGGTTGTCTGGAGCACACCGGTGTGGTGACACAACTTATTCGTGAGGCCAGAGAGAACAAGGGCAACCTGTCAGTGCTGTGGCTTGACCTGGCAAATGCATTCGGCTCCATTCCACATAAGCTCGTCCAGCTCACTCTGACAAAACATCATGTTCCCAGCAGATGCAGAGACCTCATCGCTGATTATTACAGCAATTTCAGGATGAGGGTCTCTTCTGGTGCAATTACATCCAGTTGGCACAAGGTGGATATTGGCATCATCACAGGGTGTACCATCTCTGTGACGCTGTTCTCACTGGCCATGAACATGCTCACAAAATCTGCTGAGCCAGAGTGCAGAGGGCCCCGCATGATCTCAGGACAACGGCAACCACCCATCAGGGCTTTCATGGATGACCTTACAGTCACGACAGAATCAGTCCCAGGCTGCCGCTGGATTCTGAAGGGTCTAGAGAAGCTGGTGGCGTGGGCCTGGATGCATTTCTAACCCGCCAAATCTCGATCCATGGTGCTGAAGATAGGGAAGGTGGAAGACAAGTTCCGGTTCACCATCACTGGCATAGCCATCCCAACTATGTATCTCAGAGAAGCCTGTCAAGAGCTTAGGCAAGGTTTTTGACTGCTGTCTGAGAGACACAACATCTATCCAGTCAACATGTACTGAGTTGGATGGCTGGCTGAAATCCGTGGACAAGTCAGGCCTACCTGGAAAGTTTAAAGCCTGGGTATACCAGCATGGCATCCTTCCCAGGATCCTGTGGCCCCTCCTGGTCTACTCTGTTCCCATCTCAACAGTTGAGACTTTGGAGAGGAAGGTCAGTGACCACCTGCGGAGATGGTTGGGACTACCTAAGAGCCTGAGCAGCATCGCTCTTTACGGGAACAGCAACAAGCTGCAACTGCCCTTCAAATCCTTGGAAGAGGAGTTCAAGGTCACCAGAACCAGGGAAGTGGTCCAGTATAGGGATTCAAGTGACCCGAAGGTGGCTAAGGCTGGGATCCAAGTAAAAACTGGCAGGAAGTGGAGAGCAGATGAAGCGGTTGAAGAGGCAGAGGCAAGGCTCCGGCACAGAAGCCTGGTTGGAGTGGTCACTCGAGGCCGAGCTTGGCTAGGTTCTTTTCAATCTCCCCAATTGAACACCAAGGGGAAGGAAGGCCGACGTCTAGTTCAGGGCGAGGTGAGAGCAGCAGTGGAGGAGACAAGGACCTACAAGGCTGTAGGGATGAAGCAACAGGGAGCTTGGATGAGATGGGAGAACGCAGTTGAGAGGAAAGTGACCTGGGCAGAGCTTTGGAAAGCTGACCCTCAACGCATCAAATTTCTCATCCAAGCAGTATATGATGTGCTCCCAAGCCCGTCTAATCTGCACACATGGGGCATAGCAGAGACACCAGCATGCCCATTGTGCTCCAAGCGAGGAACCCTGGAACACATCCTCAGTTGCTGTGCAGTGGCACTTGGAGATGGACGGTACCGGTGGAGGCATGACCAAGTCCTCAAAACCATTGCGGAAGCTCTCACCGCAGGACTGGCATGGGCTAAACAGTTCTGACCTTCCAACAGAACCATCGCCTTTGTCCGTGCTGGGGACAAGCCTACCCTAGCCAGAAGAACACCATCTGCAGGCATCCTGATGTCTGCAAGAGACTGGCAGTTGTTGGTGGACCTTGAAAAACAACTTAAGTTCCCCAGCCACATTGCAGTTACCACCCTACGACCAGATATTGTCCTTGTGTCTGAGTCGACGAAACAAGTCATCCTACTGGAGCTGACAGTCCCATGGGAAGACCGCTTGGAAGAGGCCTTTGAGAAGAAGCTCTCCAAATATGCAGGTCTGGTCAGCGACTGCCAACTGGCTGGGTGGAGAGCAAGATGCTTCCCTGTGGAGGTTGGTTGCAGGGGTTTTGCAGCCCGTTCCTTGGCCAGTGCCTTCGGTAGTTTGGGCATCGTTGGGGAGAGGAGGAGGAGAGCCATCCGCAATACCACCGAAACGGCAGAAAGGGCCTCGAGATGGCTATGGCTAAAACGTGGAGATCCATGGAGTTATGGTAGCTAGCTAGCTGTCTGGACACAAGCCGGGATTTGATCAACCCCGGCTGGGTCACCTGGAGGAGGGCGTATGATGTTGAAAGACCCGAAACGTCCAATGAATCCAGGAACATCACTGATGATGTGTCCAGACTAGGCATCAGTAGATGTATGTACACAGCACGTGTTGCAGCCATCAAATTCTGAGTTAATTATTATATACAAAAAAATAAATAAATAAAGTTTATGAGTTTGAACATTAAATATTTTGTCTTTGTAGTGTATTCAATTGAATATAGGTTGAAAAGGATTTGCAAATCACTGTATTCTGTTTTTGTTTACATTTATCACAATTTCTCAACTTTAATGGAATTGGGTTTTGTAAATGCACCGACTAAGTGGTGCACAGTTGCTCAGATGTGGCTTAGCACATCTGCAAAATACTTGGGGCTCGGTAGCACATAGTTTAAAGCATGTAGAAAACATAGAGTTTTATACCATGTCTTTGGTGCTTTTTTGTGGGCGTTTCTAGGCATTGGTGGTCTTGTGCATTTCATTGTGAGACACATTTCTCTCACTTAGTTACATGCCTCTGTTTAAGATGTTGAAGGAATTGAATTATGCTTCTGCCTTTGGCTTAGGGCTGGGCATTGAAACGATAACAATATATATCGAAAATTCATTTCCCTCAATATCAATACAAAACATGGTCAATATGCTTTCTGATAGTCGGCATTCTGCCATGGTAGACTACACGAAAAGCCTATAAAAAGGGCAGTTTCTACGGGTCCACTTCACGCTTAGCCAATCATGTGCTGAATTAGAACCAAGTAGCAAACAATTTCTTATTAGCAGGCTGCAGCTACACGCAGCCATAGCACTTAAACATGTGAAGCCGACAGCACTGTTGGTGAGAAAAAAAGAAAATGGGCAGAAATGCAGATGACGGCTCAAAAGAGGATGACATCGTCGACAACACTGGCAGTAAAACGTCGGTGGTGCAGAGGTATTTTGTTTGTTTCTTAAGTTGGACATGAAGCAGAGTAATGTGCACTACAAATTATGTAGAGTATGTTGCAGAGACGACCAGTTTCTCATCCCAACCCCCCAAAAGAATGTAAGGCTTACATCTGCTCACTGGAGACAAACCTTTAACACCAAATCACAATCCTTCTACAACCTGCAACCTCCTACAAACTTCCTATCCTTTCACTTCAAAGAGACAAAGACACTGTTTATGGCCAGCAGGAAAGAACTGCAGGACCACTCGATCAGATAAACATCTGTCATCACACCTTGACTGGTAAGCGTCAGGTTTATCAGCTCAGCCATAAATCCTACATTTGGTTGATCTTTATCGTGCTCTCTTTGAGTACAATCCAAAGAGAATAACTACAACTAGTCCAGTTACAGGTTGGATGGACAGGACACCATGATCTTCTGTCAGTACTCAACATGTGCAGTAAAACAGTCTTTGTCCCATTTGCCTATCATGTTCATAAGCCAAGATCTCACACTGACTGAGTAAATCCTTCAGTCTTAAAGTTCCTTGAGATCAACAGCTTTCCCAGCTGTTTCATGAACTTTTCAGAGCTGAGGTTATTATGTTTGAATTACAACCCTATTCTAGTAGGAATAGTGTAGAATTATTTAGTTTATCTCTTAATCATTTGTTTAGCTTTGTTAACCATTAGGTAGTTGTACTGTTAGTTGATAATCTGAATGTTGGTTTGTGTTTGTGTTATGCACAGTTTCTGTGTGTTACTATCTGTTTTATTTCAGAGTAATTTAACATGATCAATGTTCTTTGAAAAGTGATACTTAAAGCATAATGAGAATGTTTGTTAATGTGATTCTACAATTCTTTATATATGTGTTTAGCATCAAATCCTTTATTATGAACCCAGCATTCCTTAACATTAATCATAGTGAGTGAGTATTCGATCTGACTCCTTTACTAGCCAAAGTATAGGTTGGATCAAAACAATTAGGGCTCTTGAAAGTCTCCTGTCAGGAGGCTGCAGCTGGGGATCAGGACCCCCTCCTTTCTCTCCTCACACCTTAGAGACACTCCCAGTCTGAAGAGTATAAAACCAGTAAAGCTGGGGTGCTACCCCTCTCTGTTTTTTTTTTTCTCTCTCTCTTGCTTTTTCCTCTCTTGCCTTTTGCTCTTCACACCCTTGTTTTTCCTTTTTTTCTGCTAAGTTCCCTCTTATATTCATCTTATCATCATTTATTGCATGGATGTTGTACCATCATTTATCCTGTAATAAACAGATCATTTATTTTTCTAAGTTCTTGTCTGTTAGTGTTCTTCCAGAAGTGGAGTCCCTGAAATGAGAATTTTGGCTTGAGATATGAGATTGATTCATTTAAGATTGACTTAATGTTTGATTTCTGAATTAAACTTTTGTTTTTCTTTATTTTCCCACTGAAGGTGGGTGATGCCCCTTTCGATGAGTGCAAAAATGTCATAAATTAAGATTATTATCAAATATTAATCTTAAAACATTTATTATAAATTAAAATCGCTACAAGTACATGTTCTTGCAAAGTCAGGGAATACTTCAAATCTTTTTCACCACCTGAAGCAGTGCCACTTTTTCCTATATTGCCCAGTCAGACTTTTTTTTTTTTTTTAACAAACTTTCAAATAGAACTGTGCTTTGTTTAAGGTCTGACATTGGAAAAATAAACCAACTCCAGATGGTTAATGAGACCGGGCCCCAAATTCTTCATTTTCAGCCGTGTTGTTGTCCTCATTGTGTGTGTCTCAGAAGAAAATAAATAAAGGGTGAAGGTGTCAGCTACAAGAGCCCAGGGGAAGAAGAGCAAGACGTTAAATAAAAAAATCTATACTTTCATTTTAAGAAATCCGCCTAAAGCATTTGTTTTGCTTTTGTCAGACCTGACAGAAAACAGCAGTTTAAGGAGCTTCCCCTCTAAATACTGCACATTGACAGCTGTTGACTAAAAGCAGGAAGTAAACACAAACACATGCGTTTGGGTTTTGACGACCAGTAAACTCATAAATATGCACTCACTCCCCATCAGAACAGCCCAGTCAGCAGATGCAGAGCGGTGACTTCCACTCTGGCAGAACAAGCGAGGGGTGTTTCTCCGTCCTTTTTTCTTTATTTCTCTTTTACTGACAGAGTGGTATGAAGAAGCCATGCCAGGAGCCTTTATGAAACATCCCATTTTTTTCAGCCCTGATTTATGATTTAATAATTTTATTATAATGTGATTTAATTATAATATCAAATCTTGTGAATTACTGGTGATGTCCTGTAAAAGTATTGTATGTATTTGTGTATTTTGGCATGTAGGTTTCATCCGGAGGGCATGTGCACAGATTTGAGAAAGTTCATTGACGGCCCAAGTAGCTACCTCACGCTACCTGATGAGCTCAAGACAGCAATAGAAGCCATCACGTATATCGCTGAGGCTCTGCAAGCTGAAAAGGACTATGAAGCTGTAAGTTTCAATTGGTTACGATGCTGTAACTCCTTTTTTTCTTACTTCCCTGTCTTATTTCCGTAACTATTAATAATTTGATTTTCAAACTCTGCTCTGTCTTCTTTTTTCCTGTCTGTCTGTCTTCCTCCATCCTCTTATTGCTCCTTTCTTATATCCCCTCAATCCCTCTGTCCTCTCCATCCCATCACCCCTCCATTCATGTCCAGCTGAAGGAGGACTGGCAGTACGTTGCCATGGTGGTGGACCGCATGTTCCTCTGGATCTTTGTTGTCTTCACCACTGTTGGCACTTTGGCCATCTTTGCAGATGCCAGCTTCAACCATACACCCACTGACCCTTTCAAATCCACCTGAAATAGTGGGGGGCATTGGTTTTCTTGAGCTTTATTCATCCTTCATCATCACATCAACAGAGAATGGAAAGTTATTACTGTGTTAAACTGCCACAAGGTTTTTAGTTGTGAAATTCTTGTATGTTTTTCATTATCTTTTGGAAGCAGTGACAGTTTACTACACTTTTTCTGACTGGAAAACCCAAATTCACTCAAAAAGAGTTGTTCTATCTGGACATTTCAAACTGTAATAATCCAACACTTTAACTCTCAGTAGTATGAATTGCAGAGGCTTTGATTTGAAACTTTCAAGTGTCAGACTTGGACCCACTGAAGCAAAAGTCCTGTGCAGCCTCTTAAACCTCCAACCAGATGGAATCTAACTCTAAAACTGGCAGAATCTCCAAAACCAGGTCTCATGTCTACAAAGCTTGAATAGAAGGGCATGTATCTATTTTTTTTACCAACCTTTAGATAACTGCATGTTGTTTGACCAGCTGAGGTCTGTGTAATCATGTGCTGTCAAGAACCCCATGTGGTCTCTTCTGCATTCAACCTTAATTTGCAAGAAAGTTCAAATAAAAGAACATCTTTTGGATTCTCGGTTGAATGAGCATCAGTATCCAAGAACTTTTCAGCCTCAGTGTGTTTTTGCCTTAATTACATGAAAGCATTACGCTGCCAAGAAAACCTGGAGGGACCTGTTGACATAGATAATTAATGCTAACCAGAATTACAGTATGTGTGCCAGGCTTGATAGTTGTATGAGTTTGAGTAACCAAGCCAAAACTACTGTTCTTGACATGTGTAAAAAAAAAAAACTTAAATCTTAGATATTGGCATGTTTTCTTCTTGTTTTGTTTTGTTTTTTGTTTTTTTGTTTTTTTGTCTTGAAAGACCATGGATCCAGGGTTTGGTATTTCACTGTAGTGTTCGCACATAAACACCAAGAGAAACGAGATGCTATAACCAGCAAGCTTCACGTCTTATATTTCACTGTACTGTAGCATGGTTTATGCTCCATGGAAGTTTCTTCAACTATAGCAATCCTTGTTGTATTTTTAGCACAATATTTTAGCACGGAGGATATTCCTATATCGGACTGCAGTGTAGCATGCCAAGTCACTCCACCAGCTGCATCAATAGCCTGTGGAATTTCTATTATATAGGAGACAGGAGGGTCACGCTTATGTTTCCAGGCTCCAGTCATCTGTGAAAATCATTTTAAAAACTCACTTGCGAATAAAAAGAGATGGATGTTTGAAATGCAGTCTGAGTGATAAGCATCTTTTAACTGAATGTAATCATTAAAAAAGACTGAATTATATGATTTGATGTATTTGTTTCACTTTTCATACTTTTTGCATCATCGTGTTAGCTGGCAGTAGTTTATTCATACCTCGAGTCCATCTTAAAGAGATATTTCAATGTTTTTGAAGTGATCACATGTCACTAGTAGGTGTGCTAGCTAGGGGTGTTCCAACAAGGGTATCTGATGATATGGGAGCTTCAATTCTTTGATTATAATGATTGTTGATTCGATTATTGGTGCCACGATTCTTTGATTGTTGCCATTTTTGATGCTTTGTTTCTATACAAGATTGATTTTGTCTTCATCTGTGGCTACATTTGTAAATAAATAGCCTATCAATTAACTCAGTTTCTTTCAAACTACACCCAGTAAGTAAATAACAAGGTTTTAATAACAGCCATTTGGCTTGGAATTTACAAAGACACAAAATATTCTATTTTATGACTGTATGACTGTTATGCAAACATTTGCACTTTGACTTACTTAACTTGTACTTCGAACTGTGGAGACAGTCTCCAGGATGGCCCTCTGTGTGGCGGGCACGGGGAGCATTCTCTGTTTCGGGATGAAAGCATACAAGGTGCTGCCACGTGTTTGTGGTGTTGCTGACGTACTTTATTTTGGCTTTGCAAATCGTATAGGTCTTGTCAGTTGTCTTGTTTGATCTCTTATAAAAATCAAAGTACTTTCACACGGTTGCAGTCAACCCCAGTGGCGAGAGAATCGGCCATTCTTTGAAGGCTGCTGGAGCTGTTGCAATTTTGCAAAGAAACTAACTGACTGTTCTGTTTGTTGTGGTCCTACTCACTAAACAGTCCAGGTGGCACACACCTTAAGGTTCCAGTTAGGTGTTTTTCTGTTCCAGCCTGAAGGCAAAGCATTGACATTATAATTTATTTATTTATTTTTTAAGCCTCGACATTTATTAATCAATGCTGAATCGTCAAGTGAGCATCAATGAATTGCACCCACCTCTAGCGCTAGCCACAATAGGTGCCAATCAGCTTTGCCTCTTTAATGAGAAACTTATTGGTGAAGTGTAACTCACTCAATCTGACTTCAAAAATCCTGAAATATTTGTTGAAGTGTGAGCCCAACCACTTTACCCATAGCTAACCAGAAGCAGGTGGTTTGCATTCAGTTCCCTTTTCCTGCAAGTCTCTTTTTATAGTCCTGTCCTCTGTTATTAAAGGCATGAAGCCTGAAAGTGTATCTTAGGAAAAAAAAAAAAACACAAGTTATATTTCTAATAGTGAGCAATGGGGGTTATTTTTAGACAAATTAGCTGTTAATGTAGAATAATTGATTGCTATATAAAGACCCCAAAATCATTTATTAAATATTTTAGTTGAAGACAAACTTTGTGAAAGACAGTTAACCTTCCAAAGAGCTCTGTGTGAGTGTGTCATATTCACAGGACACTAACAGAAGGGGGACTTGAGGCCCTGGGAGCACTGAGCTCAGGGTGTGCCCCCCTCGCACACCACACATGCTTTTGGATTCTCTCACATGATTTAAACACACACCTGCCCTTTTAATCGTGTGCTTTCATTTTGTTTTTGCTTTTTAAATAAAGATCCAAGGGGAGGATATCAAAGGCTCCATGTGTTGTCAGTATGCTGTCAGGAGAGTCGCGACCCTTGCTCTGTCACCTGCCTGCTTTGCTATTTATAATCCTCAATAATCCCCCCCACACACACACATACACACACACACACACACACACACACACACACACACACACACACACACACACACACACACGGACAGGACCTGGTCATGGGACACAACAGCATGGGCTTCCCTGACATTTCTGTGTGTAAACACTGTACAGCTGACCACAGTATAGGCTGTGTGAGCTACGCTTGGTAGCTCATTTTGTTGATACTTTAAGTGTTTCAGTATCGCTACTGCACAAACCCAAGTCTAAAATGTTTAGGAGACTGCATTTATTGTTGATCAAAACAGATTTTGATGGCTTGCAAATTATTAAAAGTCTTTTATTTATTGCAGATAGTGTGAGGACAACACATGAAATGTTAAAATTGAAAAAATGTTTATGTTTATGGATTTATACGAGCACAGTTAAAATCTGATGTCAGCAACAGGTGTGAAAAAAGTTGATACAACAAAATTATGATAATGGTTATGTTGTAAAAAAAAAAAAACACTACCAACTAAATAAGTTTATTCAACACATTCATGCTGAACAGACTATGGGCTCTTTTTTCATGCCTTGCCGGCGGCGTGGCACAGGCGCGGCATAAGTCAGGTCTGCCTTGCCAACAAGGCGTGCCCAAGCACATTTTGGTATTTTGGTGAGCGGCGTAGCCCGGTGTAAGAATCCCCCCTCCCTAACTCAGCTCCTCCCAGCGGCGTAAGTCGTTGAGAGGGAGAAGATAAGGCGTGGAGTAGGTTTAACACAGCCGAGACCTGTTTTCGCCAATCACATCAGCTCCTCTCCTCAGCTTTAAATCCACCACTGACGAGGCATATTACAATTTTCGTGAAGTAGTCAAAGAGATCAAGAGATGGCTGAAGACAGCAATGTCACATGATGGCGACAGAAGGCAGCCCCTCAACAAGTGTCAACAAGCTATAAGCGCTTTCGGGGCATCCTCCACACTTTCAAATAAGCACAGAGGGATTTGATGTGTGTAATGTTGGACCCACTGGTAAGACAAACACCCTTTTCCACAAATAAAGACACTCGCATAAAGTTGCATATATTCAAACCTCACTTGACAAAGGTGGGTTGTGTGCAGAGATCACATAATAAACTCCAATAATGGCATTAAAATCGGAACCATCTGTGCATAAAGGACGCATCTCGCTCCGTGGCCTGGCTCTTTCTTTCATAGATGTTGGTATATAAAATAAATTTGGCTCACAAAACTGAATATTATAATATTCGTATGTAGGCTTAAAGTAAATAACTGATCTGATCACTAAAATAAATCATCTGGTCAGCCTTGCTGCAGCAGCAGCAGGACAGGGAGAGGACACAGAGACATGTCCAGGTCGAGCTGTGTAAGAAATAAGAAAAGGGGAAGATAGAAATAGGGGGGAGACAAATTAAATATCTTGTTAACTTCATCATGTTTGTCTATTTACTTGATATCTAATTTAATTTAATGCGGTTTCAACTGTGTTAATTCGGTCAGGTTGAGTGTCTAAAAATTGTGCCAAAGGCGCTCATTAGATCAGATATAGATCAGAATATATCTATAGATCTAAATGTATTTGCTGACTCAGAATATTGGTTGCTATTGATTATTTATTGCACTGAAATGTGCCTGACACTGTGGAAACCTGCTGGTGAGGCATCGGTGACGTATGCCGATACGGTCTACCAAAATACCACTAGACCAGCTGCGTTCTGCCTGCACTGAAAGCTGACCAGGTTCAAATCGGCGAGCATTCAGCACACTTTCCAAGCTGCCGGCAAGCACGAAAATGTCACTGCGCCAGCTGACTTTATCGACACCTCTCCCTACCGTGCCACCACGCCCAGCTGGGCAGACCTCAGTGCGCCTCAGTCTACGAAAATACCAAACTGGCTGTATGCCGGGCTCTGCCAGACAAAAATACCACTGCACTGGGTGCGCCACCGTCCACTGTGCCGCCGGCGGGCACGAAAATAGAGCCCTAAGTCTTCAGACCACTTAAAGCACTTCACATTCACTGTCACAATTATCCATTCACATCAC